GCATCTTGGAGCAGATAGATGGATTTCAGTTTGGATTTTCAAGGGAGATGATTTCTGCAAGGATCCCGGATCCAGACATGAAGCCATTAAAAGCTATCCGCACATTCCAAGGAGTCGTGAAATATAGTACGCACATGCAGGCACAACAGTTGACTGCAAGCACGCGCAGCCGGTATGAGAAACTGGTGGGCAAAAAAGTGCAGATTCAAACATCTGAACAGCACCTGCCAACGGAGCAAAGATGTTGACAACGACAGCAGAATGGTTGGACATCCGTGAAGCTCAAGCCTTGTGGACAATGTAACCCAATGTTTGAAGGATGGAGGCACAAATCGCTGCGTATGAGCAAAGCATAGCGAAGCGGAGTGCATACAACATAGAGCAGCATACCCTGTTTGAAGCTTGCAACTCTTGTTGTTAACGCCACAAATATATATGTAGATATATACAATTATCGTCAATTATCATGGAAACTACAACAAGGTGTCACCTGTCAGATTGTAAGGAAGGTGTTGTTGGCTAAAGAGTCGCGGATAAGCTTATCTGGATCAGAAGCGGGGCTTTGAAAGTGCATCCTCGCAAACCCGGGTACTCATTAGATGTACTTGCATGTACTTGCATTCCATGCGAGCCGCGTAAAAATGAAGTAAATGAGACCACACGCTCACAAACATCACAAGTTTCGCACAAGCGCTCGGTTTCTGCAAAATTCTGCAAACTCATTGTAGACAAATGCTTGTGTGCAAATTTCCGACCGTGGCTTCGCATGCACAAAGGTCTTGCTTGCGCAAGCAGGAATAATTTCCGACAATTTCATTATATACATAATTAAACAATAGCAGGAGGTTTCGCAATGCCCACTGGAGGTCCCAAGTGCCAGTTTGTCATGATCTATACCCGTACATTTGAACGTTTGTGACTTTCTTTGGGAGACATGAATCACTAGATCAGAACACTAAACAGTGAGCACATGTAAGTACATTGTAACAATGAACCGAAGGCTTCCACTTGTTTGCATGTTTTTCATGCTTGCGGTTTGAGGTTTTTATTCTCTTGTTTCAAGGCCAGGGGAGGTTTTCGGTGAATTACTGTCTTGAGAACGTCGCGCCTGTTTTCCAAGCAAAAAATGCCTGCGGTAATACAGGTGAACTTCTGTGCTATGATTTGTGCGTGTCATCCTTCGCACCTGACATGACAGACTCCCCCAATCGTGCTTTCACGATTTTATGGAAGTTCGAATTTTTCGGCACCCAGCCAAAATTGAATTGAAATTCAAGACAAAATTAAGAAACCTAAAAGGTAGGCTCAAGGCATTTTATCCTTTCCGGGGTGGCCTTTCCATTTCTTGTACATCGCCGACATTTTTGCAGGCGACCACCCCTTGCCTCTATGTTCATGTTGAAAAAGATTCCATGGGTTATGTAAAGTCATTTCAGACCTCTCACCACCCAAAAGTGCCTCGCTCACACCAGCTGCATGCCGCTGCAAAGCGCTTTCAACGCTGACGCCATCAGCAGCAGCTGCAGAAGAAATCTCCGCCACAGCGCGCAGGGCCTGCTCAAGGCCAGATACATCAGCCGCAAAGGCCTGCTCAGGGCCAGGGTCCGCAGCAGCAAAGGCCTGCTCAGGGCCAGATCCAGCGCTTGGAGATATGCCAGCAGCCGCATTCGAAGAAGCACCAAAGGCCTGCACAGGACCTACGCTTCCAGCGCTGCATGAAGACGCACCAGTGGCCTGCACAGGGCCAAAACTCATAGATCCCGTAGAAAGAGCTTGCACAAGGCTAGAACTGCTCAAAGTGCCAGCTCCACTTGAAGGCATCATCGCAGGGGCCTGCACAGGGCCAACATTTCCAGTGCCGCTTGAAGACGCACCAGAGGCCTGCACAGGGCCATAGTTTCCAGCGCCGCTTGAAGACGCTCCAGAGGCCTGCGCAGGGCCATAGGTTCCAGCGCCGCTTGAAGACGCTCCAGAGGCCTGCACAGGGCCAGAACTGCCAAAGGCCTGCACAGGGCCAGATCCGCTCGAAGCATTCAAGCGTCGCCTCAAACTTGATCTCTTTTCAACATCATTTTCACCATCATCTTTGGTAGCGGAGCTTGTTGATGAAGCTTGCATCTCACCAGAAGGCATCGATGGCGAAGACAACCACACCTGCAATCGGCGCATGCAGCATTGACCAGCTTGAACTGCCAGCTTGCCAGCGTAGATTGCCCCAAGGATCATCAAAACCACCGCCGCAATCCAAAGGGGATCCGCTTCATCTTTTTCTCCCTTGATTTCCAAAGCTTCGGCTTCGGACAAAAGAGTCTGCCCCACCAAAAAACTCATCGCAGAAGCTGCACCAGCATGAACACGCTCTCTGCTGCCATGGCTTCGCACTTGAGCAGCACGTATTTCAGGGTCTTCGGGCTTCAAAAACGGCGCATTCATGCCCAGGTTTTCCACAAAACGTTGAAAGGCAGCTCCAAAAAGAGGCTTTGTAAAACCATCAGCAACTAAGTCAAGGCCACGCACATGGATCAGCTTCCATTGACCTCCAGCTACATCAGTTTCATCCAGGGCTTGTTTCAAAAGGCTTGCTCTGATGCGCAAGTGTCTTGTTCGCCATGAAGAAGACGTAGTTCCATTGGCCAGTCCAATCGCGGCAATGTTGTCACCATAGATGACTTTCATCACAGCTGTAACACCTGTGAGTTCCATCACCAGAGCTTCAGCTGCTTTGCCAGCGATCAGGCCTTCACAGTAGCTAACCAACTCAGCTTCAGCCGTACTGTGGGTAACAAAAGGTTGTTGGCTTGTTTGCCAACAGATCGGCTGACCACCAAGGCAAACAACGATCCCCTGGACGCTTCTGTGGCCAGAACCTGCTGAGTAGGCTATGTCGCAGAAGATCTCCAAAAGCAGGTCACTTCTTTTCACCTTCAGCTGGCCATGGGCACCCCAGTCATCAGGAACATGCGTTGTATACCTCAGACCAACGCCAGGGTTTCCCTTGACGTATTTCATCAACGTTGTGCCGATCTGGATGGCTTTGACAGGAGCCTTTGTCATGAGCCTGCTCATTGTTGCAACTCCATGAGCAAGGTCAGGTCGTGTTCGGGAGCTCAACCACAGCAAAGAACCAGCCATAGCTTGAGCTGTCCTGACATCATTTGGGTCAGGGCTTTCTTCAACTTCTTGATCCTCAGCAACTTTGTAGTGAGGATATTCAACTCCTTCATCAACATTCCAACGTTGCAACATCTCCTGCTCGTACATGTGCTGGTTGACATGAAAACCATCACCTTTGGCATCTTCAGAAATCTCAAAACCGCAGTACTTGAGAGGCTTGTCAACGCCAGCCCATTCCACAGAAGAGGTTGTCCAAACTCCAGAAAGAGCTTGTAGAGCGCCATGAACTGCAAACTCTTCACCAGTGACCAAGATGTCGTCCACATACACCGACATGAGGCCATTCCAGTGGATGTAGCCTGATTCATCCAGTTCTTCCAAGCGCCAAACATTTTCATCTTTTGTTTTCTCAAAACTTCCAGTCAGCGACCCATTCGGACCTTGCCTTGTCCATTTCAGCGTTGGCAAAACTGCATCACGATGTAGACACCAGTCCCTTGGTGAAGCCTGGAGTCCGTACATTGCAAGCATGATGAGCCAAACTTCATCAGGTCCAGCCAGGCCCAACATTTTGTACACATGCGGCACTTCCATAGCTATGAGTCTGGAGTCCCTTCTCGGCGCATTGAGGAACGCCGTTCGTATGTCTGTTGAAGCAGCTTTCCACTTGTACTGAGCACTGATCCTTAGCATTGTTCGGATCTGTGTTGCATCAGCACCTCCAGCGTACGTGTTGTCGTCATTTGGTGTCTGGTAGTTTCCACACACCACTGCTCTTGAACGGTATGCTCCTGATCCAGCTTTTCTAGTGTGAACCATTTTTGCTGGAAGGATCTCCAAAGTTTTGTTTTGCACTTCAGCCATTTTTTGGAGTTCCGTTCTTGTCATTGGTTTGACAGCCTTTTTGTTGACGACAAGCTGCTCGTACTCGGCCTTGATGGATTCAGTCCAATCGGCAAGGTTTTCACGAACCTCTTTGTTGCTGACCGTTTTGGTGACCAAAAACTCATGGGTCAACTGTTGTTGTTCTTCAGCTCGGTCTTCATCCGCAAGTAGTTGAATTTGTTCTTCAACTTCAACCTTTCTAACCAGAGCTTTGTTGAGCTCAGGAAGACACCACATTTGTTCAGGGAAGGTGCCATCAATCTTGCAGATCTCCTCGGCTATATAGTCCGAGACATTGTCGTGGATGGTTTGGAGGGCTTGTATCTTTGACATTCTAACCAGAACATTCTTTGATACATTTGAGGCCGCAGAGCTTGAGCCACCGTCTCTGCTGTTAGGCGCCTCCCCCAAATCCTCCTCCACATCACTTTCCTCCTCCTTTTGATCATGAACTTCATCAGTTTCTGTTTGCCCCCCATCACCATCCTTTTCATCATCATGCCCTGGTAGCGGAGCATCATGAACCTCTTGTTGTTCTTGAGGTGGATGTTGTTGTGCTGGAGAAAGCGTTGTTTCCAAAGTCCATGAACCTTCAGAGGCAACTTCATTGTCAGGCGGCAGCGCAAACTCAAACACACTGCCAAACTTTGCAAGGATGCGCTTCTCCCCCTCAATGTGCAAAATTGACATAGTGGCAATTGCTGGTGGCGGAGCTGTCTTTGATCTCAATCTTCGTGCTGGCACACCATCACAAAAAAGCGGTTGAGCTTGTCTTTCATCACGTTCAGGGAGATATGGCAAAACTTCTCCCCCGGGACCAGCATCGACAGCCGCATTCATGCCATCATCCGCAGGAATCACCACATCATCTGTGTAGAAGCACCTTTCCGTTGCAATTGCTTTGACATAGTATGTTGTAGTGGTTATAGAAGATCCTTCAGCGGGGCCCCACACCACAACTTTTCTCGGCAATCACGCCATTGAGCGTAGCGATCTTGCCA